TGTGATCTAGTATGTGATCTATTCTGGAGATTGTCCCACTTGCACTTGAAAAGAATGTGTACTCTACTTCTTTAGGATGACATGTTCTGAATATATCTGTTAAATCCATCCAGCCCAGTATGTCATTCAAAGCCATTGTTTCCTTCTTGATTTTCTGCATAGATGATATGTCCATTGATATAAGTAGGGTATTAAAACCCCCTGCCATTATTGTATTATTATCAATGAGTTCCTTTACGCTTGTTATTCATTGTTTTGTATACTTGGGTGCTTCCAAGTTGGAGGCATCAATATTTAAAATTGTTAAATGTCCTCACTGGATAGACTTCTTAATTGGGACCTAGAACCCTTCTTCATCTCTTGTTACAGTCTTGGTTGAAAATCTAGTTTTTCTGATATAAATATTGCTACTCTGGCTTTCTTTTGACATTGGCTTGCATGATAAATGGTTTTCCTTCCCCCCACTTTCATCTGCAGATGTCTCTAGGTCTTAAATGAGTCTCTTGTAGGCAGCATATAGATAGGTCTTGTTTGTTTTGTTTTATTTTGTTTTGTTTTGTTTTGTTTTTACCCATTCAAACACCCTATTTCTTTTGATTGGAGGACTTAGTCAATTTAAATTTAGAGTGATTATTAATAGATATGAATTTCATCCATTTTATTACTTGTTTTTTCTGGAGATTTTCTCTGTTCCTTTCAGTCTTTGTTGTTTTTGGTCTTTCTTAATTACTCAAAGAGTCACCTTTAATATTTCTTGCAGAGCTGGTTTAGTGGTCATGAACTCTTTGAGATTTTGTTGGGAAACTCTTTATCTCTCTTTCTATTCTGAATGATAACCTTGCTGAATAGAGTATTCTTGGCTGCATATTTTTTCCCATTCAGCACTTTGACTATATCATGCCACTCCCTTCTGGCCTGCCAACTTTCTGTGGATAAGTCTGCTACTATCCTTATTTATCTTTGTAAGATAGGGATTTCTTTTCCCTTGTTTCTTTTAGGATTGCTTTCTTATCATTGTATTTTGCAAATTTTAGTATGATATGTCTTGGTGTTGGGCTGCTTTTGTTGATTTTTTCTGGAAGTTCTCTATGCCTCCTGGATTTGGGTGTCTGTTTCCTTGTCTAGATTAGGGAAGTTTCAGCTATAATTTGCTCAAATAAAACTTCTGCCCCCTTTTCTCTCTTCTTCTTCTTCTTCTTCTTCTTCTTCTTCTTCTTCTTCTTCTTTGACTCCTTACACATTGTAGAGTCCCTGGGTTTCTTATGTCTACATTTATAATCCAATATTTTCCTTTTCCTCTTCTTCTCAGCTTCATTATTTTCCATAATTATCTTCTATATCACATATTAATTCCTCTGCTTCTTCCTTCCTATGGTCATTACATCCAATCAGTTTCACATCTTGGTTATAGCAGTTTATATTTCAGCTTGACCAGTTTGTAGGTCTTTTATCTCTGCAGTAAGGGACTCCCTGGTGCTTTCTATGCTTTTCTCAAGCCCAGTATTCTTATGATTATTGTTTTAATTTCTGGATCAGCCATATTATTTATATCTGTTTCGATTAGATCTTTGGCCGCCATGACTTTCACTTGTTCTTTCTTTTGAGATGAATTCCTCTGTCTTGGCATTTTGTCTAGGTATCTGTCTTCTGTAACTTAGAAAAGCCAATTATTGGGGCGCCTGGGTGGTGCAGTCGGTTAAGCGTCCCACTTCAGCCAGGTCACGATCTTGCGGTCCTTGAGTTCGAGCCCCGCGTCGGGCTCTGGGCTGATGGCTCAGAGCCTGGAGCCTGTTTCCGATTCTGTGTCTCCCTCTCTCTCTCTGCCCCTCCCCCGTTCATGCTCTGTCTCTCTCTGTCCCAAAAATAAATAAACGTTGGAAAAAAAAAAAAAAAAAAGAAAAGCCAGTTATCTTTCTTGCTCCTGAGAGTAATTGTTTTGTAAATAAGAGGTCATATAGTGACCAAGGACTGGCATTTCAAGAAATGTTTCTGCTGTATACTGTGCGCACTCTGCTATTGTATTTTGACTGCTCTTTCCCTCAGGTCATTCATCTGCAGAATTTCAGTTTACCTGAAGTGTGAGTGTTTCGATCTTCTCCAGTGCGTAGAGAGTTTTAAGTAGATATGTTTTGGTCTGCTTGTTAAAAGAGGCTAGCTCCAATTTCCACTAGATCTGAAACTTTGCAGCACTCTATAATGGGTAGATTTGGTGCATATGGGGATTTGTGCTGGTTCTGGGGAAGAGGTCTGCTGCCACTCTGGCTCTCAGGCACACTTGCCCTCATACAGAAGCACCTGCAGGCTTCAGGCAGTTGGTCTTTGTGTAAGCAGCTCAAATTTCCACTGCAGGTGCTGTGCTGCTCATTGTAGTCTGTCTGTGCTGATGAGTGGGGACAAAAATTGAGTCAGCTAGCTCTATCCTCCCTGGAGAGGGAAATTCATGCCCAAAGCTGTTCCAGAAGCCCTCACAGAAGAGCAAGCTATCTCCCTTCATTGTCCCAGACATCCCTCAAATCTCTGCCTTCATCCTGTCTACGTCTCAGCCATCTGCCCACCCAGCAGTGCAGTGCTCTGTGTTTTATTTCATGCAGGGACTGGGTTTTAAAGCTCTAAATTTTAGGTACCAGGTGCAGTGTGGATCCCTGCTGATCCTCTGGGTGAGGGTCTCACACAGGGCTGGTGCTGGTTTGTTCCAGAAGGGCAGTTTCACAAAGCCACAGGGGCTTGGAGTGTATGGTAAACACATCAAAAAGCCATCCTCAACAACTGTCCCTGCTTACATTTTAGTGAAAGAGCAATGCAATCACCCCTGCAGGCTCTTTTGTCTCCTGAAAGGCAGCACCGCCTCTCAAATGTACTCCATTAAGGGTAACTGTCTCTCCCAGTAAAATCTGGGGGATCCTCACACCAAGCTTTCCCTCTTCTGGGCCTCTGCCTTTCTTCTCCACAGGAGTACTTCTACACCTACCAGGATCCACCCTGGTGATGATGAGGACTTCTGCAACTTTAGACTTTGAGCTTCGCACCTTATAAAAACTTGTGATAATCAGCTCATCTCATTTTGCCTGTCAGTGGCTTTGGGGAAGTGTTTTCTTGTGCAATGCCCTGCACCCTGCCCTTCTCCCTCCTCTCTCTCTCTCTCTCTCTCTCTCTCTCTCTCCCTGATCAGGGTTCCCTCCCCTCTGCAGTAGCAGCAGTACCTTTCTTGCCCAAATCGTGTCTCCACATCTCCTACCTTACATGATGTGGCCTCTTTTCTCCCCCTTTTGTGCAATTTGTTCACTCAGTCCTCAGAACAATTTCCTGGGTATTCAGAATAATTTGATATTTATCTAGCTGTGTTCAAAAAATGAGGCAACCATGGGTCCTCCTACTATTCCAGGACCTTAACCCCAGAAAGAAACCTGTATTTTCTTCTTTGGACATTTGTTTAATAAGTTTTTTTTACCATTCCTAAGTCACAGTGATTTTCTTCTGTTTTTTTTTTGGGATGAGCCCTGGGTGTTGTATGGAAACCAATTTGACAATAAATTTCATATATTAAAAAAAGAAAAAGAAATAAATGTTTAAAAATTAAAAAAAAAAAGTCTCTTATGGTTTGTCCCCCATCCTATTTTTATATTACTTTTGCTTCCCTTCCCTTGTGTTCATCTGTTCTGTGTATTTAAGTCCTCATATGAGTGAAATCACATGATATTTGTCTTTCTCTGACTGACTAATTTCTCTTAGCATAATACCCTCTAGTTCCACCCACATAGTTGCAAATGGCAAGATTTCATTCTTTTAAAAAAAATTTTTTTTAATATTTACTTTTTTTGAGACAGAGAGAGACAGAGCATGAACAGGGGAGGGGCAGAGAGAGAGGGAGACACAGAATCGGAAGCAGGCTCCAGGCTCTGAGCCATCAGCCCAGAGCCCGACGCGGGGCTCGAACTCATGGACCGCGAGATCGTGACCTGAGCTGAAGTCGGACGCTTAACCGACTGAGCCACCCAGGTGCCCTAAGATTTCATTCTTTTTTATTGCCGAGTAATACTCCATTGTATATATATACCACATCTTCTTTATCCATTTATCCATCAGTGGACATTTGGGCTCTTTCCATACTTTGGCTATTGTTGATAGTGCTGCTATAAACATGGGGGTGCATGTGCCCCTTCGAAACAGCATACCTGTATCCCTTGGATAAATACCTAGTAGTGTTATTGCTGGGTCATAGGGTAGTTCTATTTTCAATTTTTTGAGGATCCTCCATACTGTTTTCCAGAGTGGCTGCACCAGTTTGCATTCCTACCAGCAGTGCAAAAGAGATCCTCTTTCTCTGCATCCTTGCCAGCAACTGTTGTTGTCTGAGTTGTTAATGTTAGCCATTTTGACCGGTGTGAGGTGGTACCTCATTGTGGTTTTGATTTGTATTTCCCTGATGATGAGTGATATTGAGCATCTTATCATGTGTCAGTTGGCCATCTGGATGTCTTCTTTGGGGAAGTGTCTATTCATGTCTTTTGCCCATCTCTTCACTAGATTATTTGTTTTTTTGGGTGTTGAGTTTGATAAATTCTTTATAGATTTTGGATACTAACCCTTTATCTGATATGTCATTTGCAAATATCTTCTCCCATTCTGTTGGTTGCCTTTTAGTTTTGCTGATTGTTTCCTTCACTGTGCAGAAGTTTTTTTATCTTGATGATGTCTGAAGCAGCTACCTAAATGGTAAATATTCCTGCATTGTTTTCCAGCCCACTTCAGCATTTAGTGTTTGACAGGCCATCTTCAATTTATCTACTTCAACATTTTTTCCATTTCCTTGACAAAAAAAAAAAGTTATAGCTACACTATAAAAGACATTATTTCATAGGATACAAAATTCATTTAACACTATACTATCTAATAGATTAAGTGTATATGTCTCTATATAATATTGGTAAAAAGACTGAGTTACCATATTATAAAAAGTTATCATTTTATTCTTACATTAGCTATTAGAATACAGAACTCACCAGATTTGGGGTATGTGACTATGAAGACGTCATCTTCTCTGATTTCAAAATCATTTAATGTTTCTAGAAAGCCTATATCAAGTCCTGGGCGGCAAAAATAATATCCTTTAAATTTGAATAAAAATGAGTCTATGTCTTCCATATTTCAGTTGCCTGCTAAGACAGAAAAAAATATTTGAAAGAAATTTAGTAAAATTTTATGTTATCTTCCCTCCTGTATCTTCAGTTGTTGGTCATATACTAAGAGAAGAAATTGATTTCTTGTTTTCTCCACAAACACTGATAACCAGCAGGCTCTCAAAGCTACTATCCTGGATTTGAGATGTGTGGAGTTTGGTCCAATGCCAGGAGCCAGCTGTTCATGGGATGGGTCTTAGTTTTATGTGTGTGTGCTCCATTTTTGTAACCACAGGAAAAATAATTAAAAACTAATTATGTAATTGCAAAAAAATGCTCTTAATCAGAAATCATACATTATATATATATATATATATATATATATATATATATATATATCTATATAAACAGTAAAAATGAATATACAAACTTGACTTGAATAGGCTTTAGAAACATTTGTCTCTTGCCACTCCATATACAGCTGGGTTTTTCATCCCTGGAACTGAAGTACAATATTTTAGCTTTTAGCATGTTTATAGAAGTTTTCTTTATATACTTTCTGGGTATGAGTTATCTATTCATAAGGTTTTTGGTAACTTGTAATTTAAACTTTGTTTTATTTCCTAACTTGCAACTTGTTTAGAGTAATTGAGAAGGTACAAGTATGAGCTAACAGATATGAATGTATTCCAGGATACTTGATAAATTGCGTGTGAGCAGTTAAATTGTCAATAATGACCATGTGAACAATGGCACAAAGTATGAAAGAAAACATTCAAATTATGGATCATATGTAGATAGTGAAAATTAAACTTTGTGACTCATCATTGATGGATATATTTTGCCTTTCATTATTATCAGTCAGTAGCCTTATGAGAAAATCTTATTTTGATACTTATGAACACTGAGGTTTTAGTTGACTTGGGGGTTCTTCCAGATGACTCTGAAGTGTACTTTTTTTCTATTTCCCATAATAGTTGGTCATTGGAAGGCTGACAAAAGAAGAACTTCAGACTCACACAATTCAAAAGCAATTCCAGGAAGCCTGGGCCAAGAGTCATTAAAGGTAAAAGGGAAATAAGTGATTGTTTAGAAATATATTTTTATAGTCACACTGTTACTGGAAAAACTGGGATTGATAGTGTCTATTTACAAAGGAGACTTATGAAAGCTGCAAGTTAGTTGCAATCATCAACATGAATTCACATCCAAGGATGGAAGTCGGGGACCAGACAGGCAAGGATGGAGGAACAGAGAGGAGATAAGTTATTCTGTCACTAGAGTTATTTAAGGGATCTCTTCTTTGCCCTCTTGTGTTTAAAGAAACAACCCAATTTATACCTCCATACCCATTGGTTCTAATATTAACCCCCAGTGTTAAGAAGCAGTGGCTCCCTAAGAGTAGTCAATTCCATATCTTGGGACCAAAACTAGAACTATGAGCCTGTAACATCTTGATCATTTCATAAAATAAATATAATTATATCATCTTATATTCTACTTTTATTAGATCCTAGTATAATTACTATCATGGCGAATTATATCTTTCTTTTAGTATATGTTCCTAAATCTCTAAATAAATATTTAAAATAATATAATGGTTCAGTTTATTGAAAGTCTAAGCAAAGAGTTGCAGTATATTTTTGTTTCATACATAAGAACTGATAGCTTACATACAATTAGCCTAGTGTTTAGAACATTGCCAAATATCTGAAACTGCATAAATAGTACAGTTCAGGGGCGCCTGGGTGGCTCAGTCAGCTAAGCATCCAACTTCAGCCCAGGTCATGATCTGATAGTTCGTGGGTCCGAGCCCCGCATTGGGCTCTGGGTTGACAGCTCAGAGCCTGGAGCCTGCTTCAGATTTTGTGTCTCCCTCTCTCTCTGCCCCTCCCCCACTCATGCTCTGTCTCTCTCTCTCTCTCTCAAAAATAAATAAACATTAGAAAAAATTTTTTGATTTGTACCGTTCAGACAGGAGAAAGGAAGCATACTATGTCACCTCTAAAAGTACCAATTTTGCATATGAATTTTTTTAGCTGAAGGCAATTAAGAATGAGCAGACACAGAATCTTTTTTATATTTTCCTAAGTTCTTAAAAGAATCTAGATGAGGGTACCTTTACCATGAAGAGAGCTACTCCCACATATAACTTTTTATTTCTGAAAAACTCCAACCACATGGCAGGACAAACATCTGTTAACCAAAAGTGAGCTCTTCTCAACTTCCTGTGAATTGTCTTCCCCCTTTTTGAATACCCTACCCTTTTACCTCATTCTTCTTAGGATGGTATATAAGCCTCAATTGTCATATTGTTTTGGACTCTGTATGCTTTTGTGGGGCTCCCATACGTATATAATTAAATTTGTCTCCTGTTAATCTGTTTTATGTCATTTTAAATATTAGACCATCCAAAGAACCTAGAATGGAGAAAGGAAAAGATTTTCACTCTCAGTAAAGAATAAATAAATTCACTATACTAGTTCTTCGAAATGAAGAGTTAACTTCTGAAATAAAAGCTAGTGGGAGGGGGGCGCCTGGGTGACGCAGTCGGTTAAGCGTCCGACTTCAGCCAGGTCACGATCTCGCGGTCCGGGATCTCGAGCCCCGCGTCAGGCTCTGGGCTGATGGCTCGGAGCCTGGAGCCTGTTTCCGATTCTGCGTCTCCCTCTCTCTCTGCCCCTCCCCCGTTCATGCTCTGTCTCTCTCTGTCCCAAAAATAAATAAACGTTGAAGAAAAAATTAAAAAAAAAAAAAAAAAGCTAGTGGGAGGAATAATTCTGCTGCTGCTGATGGAGAAGGACACAGATAAAGACTAAATTTTCCAGGAGGAGATTTAATGATTCAACAGTTAGCAGAGCTCCCATAATCAGGAACTCATTGAGAGGGAGGGATTAGGCTGATATTGAGCAGTAAATCATCCAATAATCTAGTAAAAATCATCGATACATTTCCCACAAATAATGGATGGTAAATGGTTCAAGAAGCTGGGTGCTATTCAGAGCTATTGGGCAGGGATCAAAGTCTCTGCTTTTGAATTATACCAGAAAATAGGGATGTATTTATTTGTTGTCCCACTCATGATTCTCTAATCCCCATAGATAAGGAGTATAATTATTAGGTTGTTTCTACATCAATGGCACTACTGTTGGTGTCTTAAGTCTTTGTGTTGTTTCTTATCAAACAGAAATGAGAATACGTGTATGTGAACAACTGAGAAGTTGAGAGGAGAAATCCATATCTACAAGGAGTAAATACAAAGCTTTGAAGGATTAGGCACTTTCCCCAATTCTTTTTTTTTTTTTTTTTTGATTTTTTAAATATTTATTTTTGGGAAAGAGACAGAGTGTGAGTGGGGGAGGAGCAGAGAGAGAGGGAGACAGAATCTGAAGCAGGCTCCAGGTTCTGAGCTGTCAGCACAGAGGCCAGTGCGGGGCTCAGACTCACGAACCACGAGATCATGACCTGAGTTGAAGTCAGGGGCTTAACCGACTGAGCCACCTACGCGCCCCACACTTTCTCCAATTCTACTATATGCTTGACACAAGTGTAACACTCATGATAAGCACCAATCACCATTTATCTGCCATTATCCCCCTCAGTTTAGTCACTGTTGGCAAGGACTTCATAGCACTGTATCAGGGGGAATGATGGGTCCTGGGGTTCGCTCTTCAAGTACAGTTTTGTGACCTGTTTTTCATGGGCTCCGCACTCTGTCCAGTAAGTTTGTGGTTTAAACAGAATAGACATAAAGGATAAACATTCTAATTCATAAGAATTCACTCTAGTAAATCACTATACAAAATAAATAAATAAATAAATAAATAAATAAATAAATAAATAAAACAATGCAAAAAAGCAGAACAACCACTTCTTGAACAAGATCAAAATCCAGAGAATGTATTATCAAAAAATTTCCATTTTCCACAAAAAGTACCATGTTCCAAAAAATAGGAAAGTGTAACACATATTCAGTAAAAAAAAAGAGCAATTAATAAAAACTGTCTCTGAATGGACCCACATGCTGGATTAGCAAAGAAAACAGCTATAAAAAAATACATTCATTTGTGAGTCACTAGATCTAAACTACAAGTTTGACCTGACAGATAAAAAAAGAATCATGGAACATGAGGACAGATCAATAGAGAAAAGAATGAAATGAACAGAAAAACAAAGAATGAAGAAAACTGAACATAGCCTCAGGGAACTGTAGAATATATCAAGCATATCAACATATGCAACAGAAGGAGAGAAAAAGAGCAGAAAAAAATCTTCGGAGTAATTGTGGCCAAGAACTTCTCAAGTTTGATGAAAAATAGTAATTTACACATCCATGAAGCTCAACTAATAAGTAAGATAAACATGAATAGGTCTAAACTATACATATCACAGTTAAACATTGAAACATAAATTTTAGGATTGTTTATTTCTGTAACACATGTTTTTGCTATTGTGATGAATATTACGTTGAAAATGTAGCTGCCTGTGGGTAGTATGGACCTTTAATGAAATTAATTCTTATCCAGAAACACAAGATGTCTTTCCATTTGTTTATGTCTTCTTTGATTTCTTTCAGCAAAGTCTTGTACTTTTCATTGTACAGGTCTTTTATTTCCCTGGTTAAATTTACTAAGATTTTATTGTTTTTGATACTATTATGAATGAGATATTTTTCCTTATTTCTTTATTTTTCAAATGTTTTATTTTTACTGTAAAGGAATTAAACTGATTTCTGTATATTGATTTTGTATCCTGTAATTTTACTGATTGTTGATTAGTCTCAACACTTTTATGATTGATTCTTTAGGATGTTCTCTTTATAAAATCCTATCTTCTGCAAAGAGTGACTATTTAACTTTTGCTTTTATGACTTGGATGCCTTTTATTTCTACATCTTGACTAATGACTCTAGTTAAGACTTCTAGTACCACAGGAGAGGTGAGAGTGAGCATCTGTGTGTTGCTTTTGATCTTACAGGAAACAGACTGAGATTTGCATGCAGACCAGGAAGTGCCTTCAGGGATAACACATGATGGAGTGAAGGCAAGTGTTCTGGGCAGAGGGAGAAGTTGAACTGGAGTGCAATAGCTTTGGGTAGTATGGATATTTAATGAAATTAATTCTTCGAATCCACAAACATGAGCTGTCTTTCTGTTTGCTTATGTCTTTGATTTCTTTCAGCAAAGTCTTGTAGTTTTCACTGTAAAGGTCTTTCGCTTCCCTAGTGAAAGTTACTAAGATTTTTTGTTTGTTTTTGATGCCTAGTATGAATGAAATACTTTTCTTTATTTCTTTTTCAGATGTTTCATTATTTCTATGAAGAAATGAAATTGATTTCTATATATTGATTTGTATTCTGCAGTTTTACTCAGATTGTTGACTAGTGTCAACAATTTTATAATTGACTCTTTGGGATTTTCTATATATAAAATCATATCTTCTGCAAAGAGTGACTATTTTATGCCTTTCTGATTTGGATGCCTTTTATTTCCATGCCTTCCCTAATTACTTGAGGTGGGATGTCTAGTATCACTGGCGAGGTGAAAGTGGGCATTCATGTCTTGCCCCTGATGTTAGAGGAAAAACTTTCAACCTTTCACTATTGAATACAATATTAGCTGTGGCTGTCATGTATATAGTTCTTAGTATTCTACATACAACCCTTTTCTACTTAATCTATTCAGGGCTTTTATCACGAAAGGATGCTGTGTGTTAGCAGTTGCATTTTCTGTGTCTAGTGAGATAATCATGGTGTTATCTTTGATTTTACTGACATATTACCTTTATTGAGCTATGTGTGTTGAAGAAAACTTGCATCCCAGAGATAAATCCCACTTGGTCCAAGTGTATAATATGTTAATACATTCTCGAATTTGGTTTGCTTTTTTGTTGAGAATTTTTCCATTAGAGATATTGGTTTATAGTTTTCTCTTCTTGATGTGTCCTTATCTGGTTTTGGTATGAAGGTGACACGGGCTTCACAAAATTAGACGGGAAGAATGCCCTCTTCTTTGATATTATGCAAGAATTTATGGCAAATCGCTG